TGCTGGCGAGTCTCCCCCCCCTCTCCCCCATCTCTCTCTCTCTCTCACACACACACACACACACACACACACACACACACACACAGCCCTGCTGTCACCTCCACCCCCCCCCCCACCCCAGGCTGGGGCTGCATGTCCCAGCACTAGTGTAGACATGGGGCAGGGCTGCAGTGCGGCAGTTGCCCCTGCAGCTATGGCTGTGGCCAGCAGGTCCCCTCCCATCCCATTTGGCTGACTGTTATTCAATATGGCATTACAAGACATTGTCCTATTAAGCATACAAGCTAAAATGGATATCTAAATAGTGATACATACCAACAATACCAGCCACTGTTACTAAGGGGCAAGTGTCTAGAGTCTACACTTTGCCCTTTGGGGGCACAGAGAAGTTACATTTTTTGTGCAATCAGCCCCCTGAAAGTGCTCTACAGCTGTGTTGTGACACATGTGCACGGCTGCAGAGTGCTTTTAAAGTGACTGATTGCGCCAAAACTTAACCCTCCTCAAATGAGGGATCAGATGAAAGCACTCTGTTTTAGAGCGCCTTAGGGAACTTGTGTTCCTTAGCGTTAATTTGTCATGTGATTGGTCCCAGCCCCACCCCTAGCGATGTCATCAGAAAAGGAAAGGAAAGGGAGGAGGAAAAAACAAGCCGCAGTGAGCCGTCATCTGGGGTTTGCCTGGCCTGTGCTGGAGGGGGGACAGGTGGATTGGAGCCCCCCCACCAGGGGCTATGCATAGAGGGTGCACACGGGGAGGCCTCCCTGGGTTGCCCCTCGCCGCCGCTGCCCACCGCCGACAGTGCCGGCGGCATCTGCGGGAGCTCCCCACTCACTGCCACTGTGCTCCAGCCACCACCAGCGCAGCCGTGCCCCTCCCAGTCGCCAGGGGCACACGCCATTTATGCCCCCCCGCCTTCTTGCCCACCCTCCAAACCCCCCCAGATGGTGAAGGATGGCAGCCCCAGCCTTTTATCTGTACTGCAATGAGAAATGGTGTGGACTTCAGCATGGGATAAGAACCTGACTAGGGCAACTACTCTGTTGCAGAGAGAAGGATATTAAATTTGTGAATTTAAGTAAAGCTTTATTTATACTAGCAGGTTTCTTTAAAGCCTCCCTATGTTAAAATGACAGTTGGCTGTGGCGTAGATCACTTACTATGATCAAATGCTCTGAGCTTGAGGTGCGAGTTTTGGAGCAAGTTTCACAGCTGTAGCTACATTGCTTAATGAGTTATGCTAAACAGTCTCACCTCTTGTAAGAGATACTGATTCTTCACTTTGGGTCACAGGCTAGAAACAAAACCTCTTACTTAGGGTACTTATACATGTGCTCCAAAGTGGGGGCAGAGGGGGTTAATTAAAACACCTGCAGTGCCTCATGTATTCAGCATCCCATGTTTCAAACTGGCGGCAGGGGCACTTTAACTAAATCTTATTAGATGAGCTTTAGTTAAAGCACCCCCACTGTCATTTTGAAATGCAGGATGCTGAATACATGAGACGTTGAAGCATTCTGAATAGAACTCTCCAGCAGACTTAATTAATCTAGTCTGCTCTGACCTGTTCTGATTAGAATGCATCAGAACCCCTATAAAAGTGCCCTGATATTTGTCCTAACACTGTGGATGCTCTACATATAATCTATATTTGTTTTTAGAAGCACTGTTGTTTCCTTTGAAGTAAAAAAATCCATGCACAGGTAGATGGGAGTTAAAAAAGTAATGTAGTCATGTACATTAACAAAATATTTTGCACAACGGAAGCCACAAGATCTTTTTCTAGACAGGTCTGTGGGCTCAAGGTGTCCTCTTCTCAACTGTTCATCTCATGCAAACCATGAGTATGTGGTTAATTCTACTGATGTTAACAGAGCTACTCACATGAGTGAAGGCTTCAGCATTAGTCCTTAGCCAGCTTTGATGATTTCTTTATTGTTCAGGAACAGTTTGGCTGTAGATGTCTGCTTAAAGGATTGCAGAGCTCCTGGAACAAGGGCCCTGCTCCCACTGAATCCTAAAGAAATACTATATCTAATGCTGGGCGTGTTAACACAAGATGCTTTACTGTGCAATAGACTAATCTACTGTGCAGTAAGGCACCTCTGTCTACACATGTGCAGTAGATTAGTCTACTAAGCAGTTCCCTATTACCTGGGTAGACGCCCTGCCGAGGAAAATTTCCTGCACAGTATTTTACTGCACTGTAAGATTACAGTTCATTAATAGCACGTGTAGATGTGCATGCTGAGTATGAGAGAAAAGGGGGTTAAGTCTTTCTTGCAAAGTGTCTCTGCTTGGGAAGAGTTGAGTATTTCTTGCTACATTTTTAGCTGTGCTTTTTGTGTGAGGTTAATCAATGAGTGAGCTCTTGGGTAGTAGATGAGCACAATGTGGAATCTTCTCAGCTTCAGTTGCCACCAGTTTCACTCAAAGGATCTGGGTGGGGAAGTGATCTTGGGGGCTCAATCTGTGGAATGTTGGTCCTGATTAGTGTTGTGCATAGTCAGTGTTGCATACATTAGATGAGCTGATTCTGAAAAAAATGAAACAAATGGATAAAATATGCCTGGAATAATCTACCCTATCTCCCCCTAAAAGATCATTGTAATGTTTAAATACTGACATGCTGGTATATGATTGTTTTTTTTTTTTATACAGAACTTGAAGATGGTGATTACGTTGATGTCTTGCAGTGAATGGCCAGAACCTGGTTATTCAGAAGCTATCTTTTTAATTTACATCACAGCAGATCAGTTGAAGACTCCTGCCTTGAGAAATATATTCTTGAGCATGGCTATTTCTGCTGGCTGGATATTATTGTCTACAGACTTTTGTTTCTAGAATTCATTCCTTTTTGCCAGCTCATCAAAGCAATGGTCTTCCATGTTTTGGGACATTCTGTACCCTGTATTTATATACCCTGTTAGAAAATCACAATGTGAATATGTTTCCTGGATGTGGGAGAGTGATTCCTAGTAGGCAAGCTGAAATCTACTGTGATCCAAATTCAATAGGCTCCATAGAGTGTTGAAAAAGAGCTTTATGCATGATGTGTTGGTTTTGTCTCATTTTCAATTAATAGGGTAGAATTTCAATGAAGAGAAGCTTTTGACGTCTCAGAGGGTGCATCTACACATACACTTTACTGCAGAAGTAGCTCCATAGTAAAGCGTCACAGTCTACACGTGCACCAATATTAAGGCATAGTAAACTAATTAACTTCACCATAAGATTATCTCCAGGGACTGTACTATTTTACAGTGGAGTCATTAAGTGAGACCAAATGCACATGTAGATGATAACTGCCAGGAGCAAATTGCACCTGGTCAGCCCAGTCTGCTGGCAGCCAGATGCCCAACTCCTGCTAGCCCTGACACTGCCACTGCCTGGAGCTGACCCTGTGTGCCCCTGCCAGCCCAGGGCTGCTCCGCGCTAGCTCAAATTGCTGCTGTTTAAGGTGCAAGTGTAGATGCTGTGCCCAGGAGCAGTGTACTCCAGAGTAGTACACTGACCCCAGAGTTTATTGTGTTGTGTTAATGGCATGCGTAGATGCATCCAAAGAAGAGTAATATATCCCTGTAGCACTGGAACAAGCTAATACTGCTGACAAAATAGTATAGGCAATCAGCATCACAGGGGGTTTTGTTTGTTTGTTTATTTTTGTTTTTTTCAAATTTTAAGTCTATATTGTACAGGTTAAAAAAATCAAATGAAAGTAACTAAGGAACATTTGACTTTCTCATCTATAAGCAATACTGTTTACAGATTACTTCTAAACTCCTAAGTCCTACACAGATGATTTTGTGACGTTTTCTTTATTTGCTATTTGTTTTGGTAATAGAACTTGCTGTATACCTTTTAAACTGGAAGTGGGTCTATTGCTTATAGTTTTTCTTTAAACAAGAATTAGATTTGAAGAGGTAAGGCAAGCTTCTGTATAAAATGCAGTTTAATTTTGAAGGTGATTACTTGTAGCTAGTGATTAGTGTCAGAAACAGTGCAGAAATACTGCACTTAGGTCTGTCACTGCCAGTCTATGATGGGCATGTTTGTAGACCTCTCTGTATCTATCTCACATCTGTAAAATGAAGATACTTCTCTGCATTGCGTTAAGGCACAAGGCTACTTTTTCCATTAATGCTTAAAAAGAGTTCCTAACTGTTAGAGCCACTGGTGCCACTGTAAATGTAAGGGCCTTGTTACATGGTAATATTGGGCAGCTTCTGGAGGTCTTAACCCCTGGACTGTCCACACATCTGAACAGCTGAAACTAGTTTTACGCATTCAAATTACGCCACTCCAGGGCAGGATTATCTCTGATCCCTGTTACCCAGGTTATCTTATGCTAAGGTGTAGCCACTCTAGGCTATACTTTAATGTAAACACCCCACCTGCATCCTGCTTCCCACCCTCCCCAGCACCCTAGAACCCCTCTATTTACTTGTGGCTGCCCTGTGCAGTCTGTTCCAGGGGAGCAGGCAGGGAAGGATTAATTTGCCTGCCCAGCTGTCACTGCAGCTGCTCTCTGGGTCAGAGGAGCAGCAGCTCAGGCAGTAGCAGCAGCTGGGCAGGCGAGTTAACCCTTCCCTGTATGCTCTCCTGGGACAGACTGCATGGAGACTGCAAAAACATGATGCATGCTATATGCTGGGAAAATGGTTATTGCCGAAGAAGAGAAAGGGCTGTTTCCTATTTTAGGAAAACTACTTTATGTGTAACTTGCTGGTGTGTATGGTTTGTCATGTGGCCTGCTGTGGGTGTTCTGAGATTTGCACACACACATTTTCGTGCCCGGATGCACTGGAGATCCGGCGCATAGGAACAGACTCAATTAATTGTGTGTGCTCCGCATGCCAGCTGACATGCATGGCGCTGTGTTGCTTGCAGTTGTATAAGCAGCGAAATGTGTGTCAGCATGGAGAAAACGCTTTCTATGCGTTTTAGTTCAGAAGCAGACTGCTAGCACTTGCTGATGTGCATTTCACTGCTTATACAACTGTACGTGATGCAGCACTGGGCACTTTTCAAAGCACCTGGTGCCATGGCGCTTGCATGTCTAAAAATACCCAAGGTCTGCTGGGTCAGAAGGGCAAGCATCTGTGTCCTTTTCCTGATTTGGACCGCTAAAAATCTTTAATGTATGGCAACATCCTTGAGTCACTGGCAGGTCTTTGTGTCACTAGGCCTCCCTTCCTGATTTGTTTGGAATGTACACGCAACCTGTGGGAAACCATTGTGCAGGGGCCACCAGGAGGTTGGGGCTCACTGTGATCTGGGCTGAGGCCAGTGTTGGAGGTAGCCTACAGTTTTGTTTTGTTTTGGGGGGATTCTTGTTTTCTTCTGAAGGGAAATGATTCTGGGAAGCTTAGTAATTGGAGGAGGAATTAAATAAAGTTTAATTCATAGATTTCATAGACATTTGGGCTGGAAGGGACCCCGGAGGATCATCAAGTCCAGCCCCCTGCCCCAGGGGCAGGAAGTCAGCAGGGATCATAGAATCCCAGCAAGATAAGCATCCAAATGTGTCTTGAAGGCATTCAAAGTGGGGGCTTGAACCGCCTCCAGTGGCACTCTATTCCAAACCTTGGGGGCTCAGACAGTGAAGAAGTTCTTTCTTATGTCCAGCCTGAATCGGTTGCAGTGGAGTTTGTGACTGTTCGATCTTGTCATCCCTTGGGGCGCTCTGGTGTACAGACGTTCCCCCAGATCCTGATGAGCACCCCTGATAAGCTTATAGGTGGCCATCAGATTGCCCCTGAGCCTGCGCTTTTCCAGGCTGAAGAGCCCCCAAAATAAATTATTTTATTATTTATCTTTAATAAACTGTTACATTTGTTCAAAATTGCTTGAGAGCAGGAAAGTTATTGGTGGAAAGGGGAATCTCCAGCCCACGCGCTGAGCTGACCTAATCCATGGCAGCTCTTCTGGGCCTGCCCATGAGGAGCTGCAGGAGGTGGGCATTTCCCAGATTTCTGGGTGGTGGCTGGGTGTAAGCCCTGCCATATTTGAACCCAGCTTTTGTATTGCTACTAGGGCCTGTGGATTTTTCCCACATTGCTGGCTTGGGGCTGGAGCCAACCTCCCCACTTTGAGCCTGGATCCTCTCTGGCTGCCAGGGCCTTGTGGGGTGGTGGTGCACAGAAATACAGGGCTGGTGGACAAGGTTCTTTGGGTAGGTGTGATATCTTTTATTAGACCAATTTTATTTATTATTTTATTAGACCTTTTGCATTTAATTATTATTAGACAATTTTATTATTTATTTTATTAGACCATCTTATTTGTTCATTATTTATTATTTTATTAGACCATTTGTGTTCATTACTTATTTTATTAGACCATTTTATTTGGTATTTATTATTTTATTGGAACATTTTTATAATTATTTGTTTTATTAGACCTTTTACATTTATTTATTACTAGCCAATTGCCCATCAGGAATGACGGCCGGGGGGGGGGGGATGCCCCACCCCTGTCTGGGCCACTCCCCCTTTACCTCCTGCTGCTGGGGGTCCAGGCCCACTCCCCCTCTCCCTGCTGCAGTAGCAGAGGAAGAGGAGGAATGGGCCTGGGTCCGATGCAGGGGAAGACTGGGCCCAAGCATGGGGAGAAGCCGGCCCACTGCAGCGGGGCAAGCAGTGGGCCCAGGCTGACCTGGCAGTGGCAGGGGAATGGGAGGAGCAGGCTTAGAGCTGACAGGGGAGGAAGAGGTGGGGTGAGGGAGGACGGGACCTGGGCCCGAGTAGGGAAGGAAGCCTGGGCCCGAGCTGAGAGAGAAGCCAGCCCTTTGTGGCAGTGATGGGGAGCAGCAGGCCCAGCCTGACTTGGTGGCGGCTGAGGCAGGGCAGGAGCAAGCCTCTTCTCCACTCCTCCCACACCCCGCTCCAAGCCTGCTCCTCCCATTCCCCCATCATGGCCAAGTCGGCCAGGGCCTGCTGCTCACCATGACACCGTGGGCTGGATTCTCCCCCGCCTGGGGCTTGGTCCTCCTCCTGTTGGAACACTTGTTCACACTCTGGTGGTTTATCAGCCAATCACAGCGCGAATAAAGCGTTACAGACAGACTTAAGACTTTTATAATATTAGCATTATTACTTATTTTATTAGACCACTTTAGGCATTTATTATTTTATTAGACCATAGTTATAATTATTTTGACCATTTTATTAGTATTTATTTATTGGACCATTTTTATTATTTGCTTTATTAGACCCTCTGCATTTATTTATTATTACTTATTTTATTGGACCACTTGATGTATTTAGTATTTTATTAGACGATAGTAATTAATTTTAATTTTATTAGGCCACTTTTATTTTTATTTATTAGTATTTATTTATTTTATTGGACTATTTTTACTTGTTTAGCATTATTTTATTAGATCATTTTATTTATCTGTTTGTTTATTTTACCAGACCATTTTTTATTTGTGTATTTTACTGACCATTTTTAATTATTAGCTGCTTTTCTGTCGCGCTTGGTCTGCAACGCGATCTCCCCCCTCATCCCAGGCAGGGGTAGCAGCCTTTTCAGCCCCCCACCCCCTTGACGTCACCACGGCCCTGCCCCATGGCGTCACCACAGCTCCGCGCCCTCCTCCGGAGCATCAGGCGGGCGTTGGCAGCTCCGCGCTGAGGAAATATGGGGGGGGGTTGGGCCTGCTCCTCCCAGCGTGCCCCGCGCGGCGGGGCGGGGC